CATCAAAGAAGACACACTGTGCAAATAGATTGCACAAACATGCTAAATTGCCCATTATGTAAAATTCCTTGTACGACACGAGCGTATCTCAATAAACATGTACGCGAGTTTCATAAGGAAGATTCAGAAGCTCTGAAGTTGGTGGATCCTTTGTACATACAGCCTTTGATATTGCTTGCGAGGTTGATTCAGGTATTGCTACTGAGGTCCATTCAGATATTCCTACCAAGAATAATTTGGATATAGTGGCCCCAGGTTCATTCAGATATTGCTATCAGGCCTCATTCAGACATTGCTACAAACTCCTATTCTGATATTTTTGTTAAGCCCCATTATGATATTGCTCGTGAGGTTGATTCAGATATTGTTATTAGGAAGTTATGACTACTTCTGTATAAGTTTGTCACAATATCACTGGTGTTTTGGCACAGCTTTATCTTCAGGTGATTTTAATGGCTGTGCTATAAACTCCTGAACTCAAACAGTTTAGGAGATAAATCACATGTTGATAGGCATGTTCTTACTTGACTACCACGAATAGCAGATACCTCCAAGTCACTTTATACCAAGGGTAACTTTGCACAACATGATTCCCATGCAACAGGGATGCTTCATACTACAGGGTTGCTAGGTAACACGCATCTCTTCAGATCATTCATCAATACATGATTAACATAATCTCATTCTGAGGGATGTGATGTACATTTTCATTTTTGTATAACAATGAATGATTGAATGAGAACAAAGTTGCAAGGGGTTTGCAAATCATTGTATCTAGTGAATAATTTACCTGGCTGATATTTGATGAACATGTACTCACCTAAATATGCAAATTAGATGTCATAAGATACAATATTTCACCTTGTAGCTTTAGGAGTGTTTAATGTCATACAAAGCAACACAAGGGTGCTAAGATCACATGACAGATCACTGTTAAAAAATTAGAGAACTGCTCATCATGAACCACTGACGTCTCGGCTAGTCACATCCATCATGATTGGTCTCCTAATTTATTAAATGTCAGGTAACTGAGGTCTATGCCTCAGAGGTGTTCTGTATAGAGCTGCAATTATTTGCTTCACAGACAAGTCATACTGTGTACAAACATTTATTTTCACTAGCATTTAATTTCACCCTTTTGAGCATTTTAATTTATTTCATAAACGAGCCACCAAAACAATGAGTTTTATTGTTTTACATGAAATTTTTTTGCTCACATAAATTGAATTTAGAGAATTTTTTATTTTATTTCATAGTGAAATTAAAACCCAGTGAATAATTAATGTATTTACAGTATTCGTAATTATATGTTTCTCGGGTAAATTTGCTTATCTAGCTCTAAAGATAGTAAGCTATGTAAACTAAAATTGTCATATGACCTACATGCTCCACACTGAGACAAGCCAGGAATGTACGGAATTCCTTATGTGTTAATATAGGCAAATGTCAAATTGTAAAAAGTTCAGAACTTTATAAACACTTCCCTGGGAGTGCATGCAGAGAACAGAAGATATTACAATTGGCGGAGTCTTGTAACCTTGTTTTTATTCGTAAAAAAAATATAAGCATACACTTAAAGCGGGAGGGTCGTCATCTGTGCACGCACGGGAATCGAGTCCCGAACGATGATAACAACACACGCTAAAAACGCAAAGGCTCGTGGGTAGACACTTGTTGGTAAACATTGACACTCTATGGCCATCTGAGGCATGCGCAGGTGACGAGTATTGATTATCACCTTTTATATGACATATAAATATCATGTGGAGTGTGTTTAAATTGAACTTTTAAATCAAATAATCTGATATAATTTTCTCATTAGAAAGTGTGGTATTGAATACAATATAGTGATTCATTTCTTGGAGTTGTTTGATAATTTCTGTCCGTGTTACAGTTTCAGTCTAATGTTTTCTAAAAGCAGAGCCACCGCCGCAATCGTTATTCCTCACTCAGCAAAAGTGTAAATGTGATACATTCTAGAAGATACTGACATCAGATTTGTGCCCAACATTGTTCCTGATCTTCAAATTAATTCTAACACATAATCAGAAGTGATTTCAAAATAAATTCAAGTCATGAAGTGACATATCTACTTTTTTTTCAGAAAACTTGAGATGTATACTGGTCAAGTTGAAGTTTAAGGTTCAACTTCACACTGATTTGAACGCAGATGCAATACATAAAGTATTACTGGACCTTAGTCATCAAGATCATTCTGATCACGACAGCATTATTGTTTGTGTATTGTCGCATTATGGACCTGGTAAAATATATGGGTGTGATGGAAAACCTTTGACTGTCGCCGAGTTGGCAGAATATTTAATGACATCAAAGAGTCCTCAGTTAGATGGTAAGCCAAAGCTTTTTTTCCTGACAGCAACCCCAGAATCATCTCCACCAATATTTCCTCCAGATGTTGATGTCTGGTCCGATTTCTTGTTTTCGTATGCTGCATCATGTGGGCAGATGATATGGAGGCACCCAGAGACAAGAGAGAATATTTACATAAAGAAGTTAGTGGAACGTCTTGACAAAAATCACACACAGCAGACAGTGATGGAAATTCTAAAGGACGTTATCTCTGAGGTTGATCAGGAAGTCAGAACATCTAAGTTCGCAATGAAGCGGCAACAAACCCCATGCTTTGTGTCTTTACTAAAGAAGAATATTCACTTAAAATAACCATGAAATAAAATAAGTTTTATGGTCTAAGTTTACATCCTTATTGGATGTGGAGTTAGTGTTCATTTTCTCAGTACATCAAACCTAATAAATAATCTTTCATAAAGCTATTTGAATTTTTTGTTTTATATCTTGAATCTAAGTGCATGTTTTATTCAGTTCTGTATTTATAATTCGTTGAAATCTGGGGCAAATGTCTGATATCACCTTATCACAGTTATTTACGGTGTGCAAAGTTTACAAATGACCTTAGTACGACTAAGCAGATCAATGATAAACTAATATCTAGTTTGAGTATACAATATGTAATATATTACATAGTAGTTACAGTGTTTTGTGATTATCACTACAGTTATATGGCTGTGATTTATTTGGTTGGCTATATAACATAGAGCATGGACTATTGTATTTATGAGGGTGTTGTCTGAAGTTCACACCAGCATCGCCATAGCTACCTTTCATTATGCGTATATTAAATACTGTAGTGATGACAGTGAATAAAGACGTACAATAATTTTAAATATGAATAAATATATTTTATTCATTATAATATACACACAGGTCATGTTCATCTACGTTTTATAGGTATAACCTTACTCTGTTAAGATCATTGATGCCATAGATAAGCCATAATATTTGGAGAGATTTATTCGTCCTCCCTTGCTGACTCGGGGAAATGCCATTATGAACGGAATATGGTCATTTCTTATTCCAAATATACAACTACCGGTTCAATCACTGTACTAGAATGGTGGTCATGCAGATTCAACATTGATTGTTAGTTTCAGTTGTTGTGTCTATATATATATACTAGTATCTATATCTCCCGTTCTGTCCCAGTGGGATTCACATATATTGTTTTTATAGGTTGCTGTGTCATTCCACTACGACAATCATGTATAGAGGGGAGGGGGTTTAAGCAGGTGAAATGCCTAGTGGTGACGTCAATAGTCACTTGACTAAAGTTCGTGTTACACGTAATTACTCCATTGCCTCCCGACGCTTCCCCCTCTTTAGTGGATGGACATGTCACTTTTGTTACAAAACCACTTGCCTGACAAATAGCCACTCAACAAATCATTTCAAACGTTTTCGATGTTCCTCTTATTATATGGGGACGTTGAACGCGATGAAATTATTGAAGAATGGAAAACTCGTTGGGGAAACAACAAGTCACGTGGTTGTCTCGCTCCCTACAAGATCTCGATGGACATTTACGAATAAGGAATGTTGAATTTTTCTGCAATTATTTAATTCAAACCATGCATATTTATTCAAATAAAACGACCATTTGGTGTAATTGGTGTGAGTAATAAACGGATTTCAGTACCCAGATAACTTGAACATAACTGATAACTGGAATATTTCAATGTAAAATACAGTATATAAATCAAGTATATGTTTAATGACAAATGTATGTTTCTCAAGGACAACATCGTTACTTCATATTTATACTTAAATTAATAGGCAGTAGTCGTCGCGGTGCGTATGTGCGATATTTTTGCTGATAAACATTGATTTACCCACAATCCAATGCGCTCTTCTAATGGAATCACAAGTATGAGGTTCGTGCTGTACGCAATTAGCTTTAATTACCCATCGTGATTCCTTCAATACCTTCTAAACACCTAATAAAATACCTAATTAAAGCTTGGTAACGTCTCAGTTTGTACTCGTTGATCTGCGCAAGTCAAAGTCGCTATCTTTGTTTATATGAGACCCTTATATCTTGCGCATGCGTGGCGCGACGACTACCGCCCTTTAATTATGCCAGTCATGGGCTGTTTGCTTATGTACTGCTATCGAAGAACGTATTATGTTTTTGTACAAGATCGTTTCTTCTAATCTTCTCAAGTAAAGAAGCGACTATTTCTTTACATTTCGATGGTGGTTGGAAATTTTGAACACAGACATTGGCAAGATCTTCACTGTCGTTGTTTTTCAGCTGTTTCTTTTTCACACCCATTCCTTCAAGGTATGCGCACATACGTTTGGTGTTCCCATCATCAAAATCATCAAAAATTTCAATTAGTACTTCGCGACAAATGGTGATCTCATCAGCATTGCCTTGTGGTGCCCCTGCCATTGGTCAAAATTCTACAGAAAGAAAAACATATTGTAAACAATCATGCTGATCTCACTTTACTGTTTATGATGCATACTTTGAAACCAATCTGATCTACAGTATTCAATCCGAGGTATGGACATATAAACAAACAACCTCGTTCGGTTGGCATAGCTCCGTTGTTTGTGATACACCGTCTAAATCAGGATTTTGTTCGTTTATTACAAAAAGCAAAAGGTCATGGTTACGTTTCAGACGATTTTGCAGGGCATAATTAACCAACTGGTTTAAATTGTTATGAATTTCTTGATATCATAAGTGAGACAAAATTGTTAAGAGTGTTAGCTATGTTAGTGCAAAAAAACATATGGGCAGAAATTCTGTCGATATTTGCGTCGTTCAGATCAAATTTTACTGCGCTTATTTGCATATGTATTAAATCATTGAAGTTGCATCCCAGTATGCCATCATTATCGTCTGCATGCGCGTGAAGCCCGGGTGCAAAGTACGTTTGCAACCCCAGTTTGTAACTAGGCGAATAACTGATGTTTACTTGACCTCTAACCCAGATGTATACTCGATGGTCGGGTCCCGCATGTGAACCACTTATGTTAACGAAATTACGTCATGTGATCATCCCCTGTGTTGGGATTACATGGCACCGTACCAGTATCTAGTACAGTCTATAGATTCGACAAGGCTTTTCTCAAAGGGTCATAATTATTCAAGAGTCAGATTTATTTATTAATTAATTAGAGTAATTATGGCAATTCATGAAACGTTTTTACATGCGAGTTTTAGGGATACGGAGGTTGCAGCCATCTTTGGTTTTGGTCAAAATACTGACAGTCCTCCAGTAGAACTCTGAGCCGGTGTATGTTAAACTTCAAAACTAACGATCCCACGAGATCGCCAATATTAAAACAAATGCCATGACTCATTGCGTTTTCGGTAACTCGCATGAAGTTGTTACTGTTTACTTTGGATTCTACTACAAATAATACTTTGAATGAAATATACACTGCGGTTATACGAGAATTCAATGCAGCTATCTTCAATATTCAAATAAACTTACCAAGCACCTTCAATCTCTATATGTTAAGGTATTCCTCTTTTCTTCAGTAACACTCAGCATCGAATATATGTATATTCTGTACCCACCTTGTGATGTTTTGGACTAGTATCACAAGGGCAGCACTGAAATGGAACCCACTGGGAAAAAGAAAACAGGGCCGTCCAAGAAGCACCAGGCGACGGGACCTAGAGGCTGATGTCCGGTAGCTGAGCTATACTTGGGAAGAAGTGAAAAAACTGGCACGGGACCGGTCTGGTTGGAGGATTCTTGTTGGTGGTCTATGTCCCAAGAGGGATGATAGGCATAACTAACTAACTGTACCCACTCTGTGCTATTGCACCGTCCAATCGAAACTGACCTGAAATAGCGTCACTTCTAAAACAGTGGTTATAACCGGAAATTCCCATTCTAAGAATAGTCGCAGTCATAGAGATAGATAATAATAGTACACCATTAGTGAATGGGTGTGTACTCTAGCATTGATTTCACGCCGTTAATCTCTTATATCGATCTAAATAAAACAAGGTGTACCAGATCTCGAATGTATATGTTGGTGGTATTAAGGTATCGATATAGGAACACTTTGGGTAGAGTGGATGATTTTGTGAAAATAAAAAAAAAAACTATTGTGGGTCATAAGAAAAATATTTCCATGATGACTGCATAAAATCATAACTGCCTATTTAAAAAGTACAAAAAAAAACAAACATCCAATCATAGATCGTTTAAAAATAAGTCTGCCAGCAAAAACAATTAACTGACCAGTACATTACACAACATAGCCAAATAAGTAATATAAGAGAAAATGTGGATCTCGGGTTTTACATGAAGTGATGTCATTCTGCCCCTGCCTCCACGTGACACCCGCCATATATGTTTATGAGGCAACTCAAATCAAATGGTCACTGTCTAAAAACTGAAGTCGCTAAAAATTGGGATGCTATATAATGGGCTCGACTGCGTCTATTATTCCACGCTTTCCCGTCCTTGTCCCGTTATCGCGCAGTAGTGAACAGTGTGTTGTTGTTATTTACCCCATAAACAGATTACAAGATAAATACAATTTTAAAATAAAAAGATTGTAATTAGATTTTATTCAGATTGATTTAAATGGGCAATACTGCTACTTATAACACTAATTTATTCCTTTTTATGGCTACTGCTAAAATCATAACTGCAAAAAGCTGGGTATTTTTATATAAAGCAAACTGTGATACGTATATGTCCATTTTAAAGACAAGATCTAAGTTCGTGGTTTGTGGTTCGTGTCGTGAAATTACTGTTACAAAGTATTGTCATCTAGTTACTGATACAATAGAATCCTTGTTTACCCTAGTGATAGGATAAAACTTCATAAACCTCACTATGCTTAAGGACGAAGTCAAAAGATCGATGTCGGATAAAAAAACTTTTTTGCTTTAGTTTGGGGGTGGGGGGTTTCCATCCTACAAAATCGATTTTATTTCTCAATGAAGTCAAACAAATGGAGTATTTGTAGTTCGTTTTTTTATTCAATCATGGACAAAAATAACAAAAAATGAAAAAAAAAACACACATCCAAAACGAGAAAATGGTTTGGTCCGAGTATAAATATGTGCGTCAAATGAGGTCAATTTCAGGGCATAGGCCAAGAACCAACTGCTATGCCTTGCTACTGTCCGATTATCAATTTGTATTTAATGGTGAATGTAGTCTGGCGCCATGATCAATATTTGTCAATTAAGTTTCAGTGGGAGTGGGAGGGGGTTTGGGAAAAATAATGGAATTAAGTCCTTTACGATTTTATGTTTTAGCAATATACTGAAGTCTGAACGTTTGTTGTGTTTTTAACACTAAACTTCTGTTACGTTTGGTTTATTT